CTTTCTCTATATCAGCCACAATAGCAATAGGCCACATCCTAAATCTCAAAAGAATATCAAAAACCCTTTGATGCAATGAAGGTCCTATATGGAGGCAATTATTCAATGATGGACCGTTAGTCTTAGCAGAGGCATCGTATACAATTCTTAATTTTGTAGTAGACTTATCCTGTCTCAACACACAATGATGCGGTAAATAGTGTATACGAGCCACACTGCATTCTTCAGAGTTCTCAACAGGGACAATAATTCCCAAGGCTAGTTGCTCTCTAATGATATCATCATATTTCTTCAATAACTCAGGAGAGCTCTTCAGGCGCTTAAACAAACCACTTAATCGACGTAAACAAAGCTGATAGTTATCAGCAAGAGAAATGCAAGAGTCTTTCCAAGGCAGGGAAACAACATACTTACCATTAGCAAACTTCACATGATCACCAAATTGAGTTTGCACTAAATTCTCATCTTCCAAAATTCCTAAAGATTCTAGCTCCCAAAATGAACGTAATCTATGTTCTAGGCTCATGTCTTCATGGACACCATCAACCCTTAAAACATGGGTGACCATAGTAGCACTCCGTGCACTAGACTGTTTCACAGCAGCAGTACCAGATAAAATCCAGCCAAAGCATGAGTTTAGAGCAACAGGCCCATTGTTACTCTTCATTATCTCACCTGTAAGTAGAGACCAATACTGGTCAGATCCAATTAAGATGTCTGGCTTTATCTGCTTGCAATGATCCAATGGAATAGAAAAGTCCAAATTATTCAGATGAGGATACTTATGCAAATCTATGACTTCATACGTCAAAGGCTCACAAATGTGGCTAACTGTGAGCAGCTTAAGCTCCATATGAGCATTATTTTTAAGCTCAAGACCCAGTTTTACAACATGGCATTCAGTACGACACTCCTTTCTAGACCCAAAGGTCATTATAGAAACTGATTTAGTGCCCAGAGATAGCAATCCCAACCTCTGGCATGCACTTCGAGTAATATATGAGCACTGGCTCCCACTGTCCAATAGGACATATAAAGACATTCTATTACCAGGCTCATTTAGATTGAAGGCAAAGACGCGTGCCACTTGCAAGAGAGTAGACTCTCTAGAACTAGTATAGAATGTGGCACCTGTATTTGATCCTTGAAATGGAGGGGTCTCTGGATTAAGCCCCTTAGACAAATGTGGGGAAGCACCATCTCTAGCAGTAGGAGGCCTCTGGCCTGATTTAGGCTTTGAGTTCGTCATACATACACTAGAGTGATGTCTCCCTCTACAAGTAGCACAGCTCATTGAAGAGCGACAGTGCTTACTAATGTGACCTGGGCGAAGGCAAACAAAGCATCTGCCCTGCTCTCTAATCATTCGCTTTCTCTCATCAACTCCAGTGACTTTAGTACACTGGGCAGGTGTGTGGTCCTCTTGCTGGCAAAAGCAGCAACCACTCTGGCTACCTCCAGTAAAAGTGGCAGTAGTGGGAAAATCCCTTCCACGCTTTTGTGTAAAACCACTCTGTTTAGTCTTAGGCAGGGAGGCCCTCTCTCTAGCTTCTACCTCTGCTAACAGCACCTCCAGTATCCTTGTCATGTTCCAATCATCTGCTGGAACCTTTCGGGCAATAGCAAGTCTGAGCTCAGATGGAAGTTTCTTTATGAACACAGGAGCCAGCAATGCTCCATAAGAGTCCACAGGTACTCCCAATGCAGATAGACTCCTAATTGTAGACTCAGTCTTGTCATACAGGCGACGAAGCTCGAAAATATGATGATCAGAAGAAACTGCATCAAGGCTCATCAGTACGTCCATATGAGCTGCAGTAATCCTCTCCTTGCTGCCAAACCTCTTCTGCAATAAGTCAATCGCCGTAGAATAGTTGGCATCAGTAAGGGCAAGGCCTGCAATAGTTTCCTTGGCTTTCCCTTCCAATAAAGACTGCAAATAAGAAAATTTATCAATGGTTGCCAAGCTGGGGTTATCATGAATGGCCGATTTGAAGGAATCCCAAAATGAGGTCCATGCAGCTAGACTTCCATTAAAAGACTTCAACGTCAGCTTAGGCAGTTTGGCAGAAACAACAGGAGTTCTAACAGGACTTAATCTACTTGTACTAAAGGGGGTAGGAGGTGGCAATGTCGAGAGAGCACGATCTACAGTAGACATGGCAAGGAACAGCTCATCTTTGATTCGCTCCGAATCTTCAATCTCCTTATCCAATACTCCCGGATCAACAAGAGGCAAAATTTGTTCATCAGGCCACGCTTCAATTGCCCAAGTTTGATTTCATCAGGCCCAGGGGATGCAGCAAAGAGATCAGACACCTCCTTTATGCTTCGAGTGGCTATGGCACAATGCCCACCTCGAGTTCTCTTCAAAACAGCAAGATCAGCCATTATATAAACAAAAAATGAATTCTCAGACAGAGGAGGTACGCAAAGTTTACTTAACACTATAACAACAAATTAACCACAAGACCCACCGCGAGTCCACATGCGTGCAACAATACAATTTCAATTTTACAAAGAAGTGAAAATATGGCGTAAAGCAACAGGTAAGTATACAAAAAACAAGCCCTTCCCGTATTGCAATATCTTGAAGAACAGACTCACCACTCCCTTAGGAGGTACTCTACCAAGGCCGCTACTTCAGGACTGTATTCAGACCGTCACAACAGAGTTACTACCAGTTCCAGATCCTAGGCCGCTCAGTCAAATCCGGATCAGTGTGGACCAAATTGTCACGGCGTCTTCTCTATAGATTCTGGGATGCCGTCCAGCCCGTCTATATAGTTGCTTCCTTAGTAGTCAGCTCAACTCAGGATTCACTAATTAGCTCGCCAATGCAGGGCTCGCTATCAATTTCATAAAATATATATTTCAACAGAATCTCTTTCAAATAATATACCAGCTTTACTGGTTCAAACAATAATATCAAATAAAGATAGATAGTGCCACACTATCTCCCAACGACTCAATAACACTCAGACTACGCTCACACACTTCTACACACTGCCCACACACTGCCAAAATGGCTCACAAAATTACTCTCTTTTATACAAAATACATTCATGAATAATAATGAACTAATAATTAATAATAACTGACAATCAATAAGCTCAATGAATATAAATCACTCATAAATCCTCACAGTTTCTCTACCACTGTCACTGACTGTCTGAGAGTGAGACATCAAGTGTAATGAATTATGGAAGGTTGCATGGACCTAGAATCAGGAAGTCTATGTATTAGAGGCTCCAAATGT